AGGCTCGGTCTTAAGGCTCGGTCTGTGCATTAAGGCTCGGTCTGTACATTAAGGCTTGGTCTGAGCATTAAGGCTCGGTCTGTGCATTAAGGCTCGGTCTGTGCATTAAGGCTCTGTCTGTGCATTAAGGCTCGGTCTTAAGGCTCGGTCTGTGCATTAAGGCTCGGTCTGTACATTAAGGCTCGGTCTGAGCATTAAGGCTCGGTCTGTGCATTAAGGCTCTGTCTGTGCATTAAGGCTCGGTCTGTGCATTAAGGCTCGGTCTGTTCATTAAGGCTCGGTCTGTGCATTAAGGCTCGGTCTGTGCATTAAGGCTCGGTCTGTGCATTAAGGCTCTGTCTGTGCATTAAGGCTCGGTCTGTACATTAAGGCTCGGTCTGTACGTTAAGGCTCGGTCTGTGCATTAAGGCTCGGTCTGTACATTAAGGCTCGGTCTGTGCATTAAGGCTCGGTCTGTGCATTAAGGCTCAGTCTGTACATTAAGGCTCGGTCTGTGCATTAAGGCTCGGTCTGTACATTAAGGCTCGGTCTGTACATTAAGGCTCGGTCTGTTCATTAAGGCTCGGTCTGTTCATTAAGGCTCGGTCTGTACATTAAGGCTCGGTCTGTGCATTAAGGCTCGGTCTGTACATTAAGGCTCGGTCTGTACATTAAGGCTCGGTCTGTACATTAAGGCTCGGTCTGTGCATTAAGGCTCGGTCTGTTCATTAAGGCTCGGTCTGTGCATTAAGGCTCGGTCTGTGCATTAAGGCTCGGTCTGTGCATTAAGGCTCGGTCTGAGCATTAAGGCTCGGTCTGTGCATTAAGGCTCGGTCTGTACATTAAGGCTCGGTCTGAGCATTAAGGCTCGGTCTGTACATTAAGGCTCGGTCTGTACATTAAGGCTCGGTCTGTGCATTAAGGCTCGGTCTGTACATTAAGGCTCGGTCTGTGCATTAAGGCTCGGTGTGTTCATTAAGGCTCGGTCTGTGCATTAAGGCTCGGTCTGTGCATTAAGGCTCGGTCTGTGCATTAAGGCTCGGTCTGTTCATTAAGGCTCGGTCTGTGCATTAAGGCTCGGTCTGTGCATTAAGGCTCGGTCTGTGCATTAAGGCTCGGTCTGTGCATTAAGGCTCGGTCTGTACATTAAGGCTCGGTCTGTGCATTAAGGCTCGGTCTGTTCATTAAGGCTCGGTCTGTGCATTAAGGCTCGGTCTGTGCATTAAGGCTCGGTCTGTACATTAAGGCTCGGTCTGTGCATTAAGGCTCGGTCTGTACATTAAGGCTCGGTCTGTGCATTAAGGCTCGGTCTGTGCATTAAGGCTCGGTCTGTGCATTAAGGCTCGGTCTGTGCATTAAGGCTCGGTCTGTACATTAAGGCTCAGTCTGTACATTAAGGCTCGGTCTGTGCATTAAGGCTCGGTCTGTTCATTAAGGCTCGGTCTGTGCATTAAGGCTCGGTCTGTGCATTAAGGCTCGGTCTGTACATTAAGGCTCGGTCTGTACATTAAGGCTCGGTCTGTGCATTAAGGCTCGGTCTGTACATTAAGGCTCGGTCTGTGCATTAAGGCTCTGTCTGTGCATTAAGGCTCGGTCTGTACATTAAGGCTCGGTCTGTGCATTAAGGCTCGGTCTGTACATTAAGGCTCGGTCTGTACATTAAGGCTCGGTCTGTACATCAAGGCTCGGTCTGTACATTAAGGCTCAGTCTGTACATTAAGGCTCGGTCTGTACATTAAGGCTCGGTCTGTACATTAAGGCTCGGTCTGTACATTAAGGCTCGGTCTGTACATTAAGGCTCGGTCTGTACATTAAGGCTCAGTCTGTACATTAAGGCTCGGTCTGTGCATTAAGGCTCGGTCTGATATTTCCCCATACAGACCTTGCACTCGGTTAATAAGCCGTTAGTATTTCTCCTAGACCAGGAATACTGGTGTCTGTTTTGGTCATATACTATTATAATATAATTAGTATATTTGCATGAAAAATAAGTGATTACAAGTATAATTATATATTAAAGCAATTGGTTATAAGCATAATTATGTAATTATGTTTCCCTTAAGTAATCCCGTATTTCTCTTTTATCATATAGTTTTTCCAGTGTTGGTGGTTTCTATGGTTCATAACCATTATTTTGATTCCAATGAAGAATAAATTCATCAGAAATGTTTGGTACCGTAAAATTAGTCAAAACCGGGTTGCGGCGTGAAGGCTCAGTACCGCTAACCCCGTGCGTTTTTTGTGGGGTTTTTTATATCAATATTTTTATATATTTTATAATGTGTTTTGTTTTGTTTTTTGCCTTTTGTTTTTTATATTTATATATAGTTTTTATTGTTTTGTTATTTATATCTTTTTCTATTTTCTTCAGTTGTTTCTTCTTAGTGTCGCTATTGTCGCTCAGTTGGTGGGCGACAGTAGCTCAGTTGAAAGAGCATTGGCCTTTGGGCCCAAAGGGTGTGGGTTCGAGACCTCCACCGACTCCACTGATGTCTGCTGTCGTTGTGTCCTTGGGCAAGAC